AGGCTGACGAGAGTGGTTTGTACAAGGTTCACAGAAAACAAGTTACTTGGGGAAAAAGCACTTTTTAAGCAGGTTTAAAATAATAGAGCTGTAGGATAATTTGCTCCGAAGCGACTTGTGTCCTTTTGAATGTTTGGTATTTAAAAACCTTCTCTGGCAACGAGCCGGTCCAAGAGACAATCTTATCAAAGTCACGGGCATCCTCAGTAGCTTGACTTCACAAAAACACGGGCATCCTCAGTAGCTTGACTTCACAATGCACGTGGGCGACATTTTTGCTTGCAAAAAACTGCACCTAATGGTGACATGTAAAAGGAAGAAGGTCTATATTTATGTAACAGCACTCGTTTTTTGTAGCCTGTAACCCTTCCTCCCAGGGCATCCTCGCATTAGAAGTTTTAGTTTCTTCCTTTCCGTCTTCAATCACCCTAATTCAACTTTTTTCATGGAGTTTCTCATCGGATGAGTTGACCTTATCATCGCATTCAAGAATGTTAACAGCTTCTTTGAATGTAAAAAAAATAAGAAACCAATGGGCAGGTGATTTTTTAACAGGGCAGTCAGTGAAGACCATCTACATAATTATCTTACCGACAACTCAAAGTTCGTTAGTGTGCGGGTATTTTATGAATAGATTAGAGGAGCGGAGAGAGTTCCCGTTTGTGACGAACGTCTTAGAGACTCAGTACACTTGTAATTCATTACGATTGGGTGGACCGACATAATGTTTGTTAGCGCGGTCATTCAAACAAGTACCCAGCGGGTTCATTCTTCACGAACCGATGAGAACATCCATAGCTACAGTAAATTTGTGGCCTATCGTTGACATCCCCAGTGTTATATGTCCGTCCGAGACCGAATAAACACCAGTCGGGTACCAGTCCTGAAGAGTTTTCCTCCAACACAGGCTGCGATTCTTTCGAAAAATGCTTTAAGCAGTATTATGACTGTGGATTTCACTTATGTTGTAGTACATCTACCAAGTTTGATCCAAAGCAGCATCTGTGAATTGCGACAGTGAAGCATCCGTGTTGAACACTGATGCCATGCTGATGATGATGATGATGATGATGATGATGATGATGATGATGATGATGATGATGATGAATATCTGTGAATGATCCCGTTTTGATCGACTGTTTCGTAGCTGAAGACGTTTGATGGCATTTTATATTATCTTTATGAAAGATAGATCACTGGTGGTGACGAAATAATTTGATGCTTACTAGTAATACAAACCGATGTCCACATTGATCAGTTTTTCCTCTAGGAAGAATTGGAATGGAAACTCAAATAACAGATCGAAATGATCCTCCATTGAACTCGGTTGTCAGTCCTACGCCAACCAAAGAAACATTTCATGCTAAAGTTGGAATGATGATGTACGTTAGTTATATTGTAACATACATGAGAACTCCAGTCATCTTCCATTAACTACTGCAAACATCCATGTAGATGAGAACCTATCGATCCCTTTTTGAACGCATGTAGCACATATTCAATAGTTGCAATGTCTCTCAACATGTTCATGCCCACTAGTTTGTAGGTAGTTCGAATGTTTTGTGCACTATGTCATGAAATTAAAAGAAACTTGAAGACAACAACTTCTGTAAGACTTGCATCAAAACAGACAGATAAAGGCATAAATGGCAATTCCGAATCAAAAACATCAACATCTTCTGTACCTTTGACTGGCTACGAACGGAAAAGTGGTGTAGTAAAAGTGGTCTAACTTTCAAATCTTCAGTTAAAATGCTCAGACGTAACTTGTCGTGACATCTTTCCGACAAGATGTTGTCAAAGGCACACGAAGGCTTTATGGAACGCGCGTATGAACTATGTGGGATGATTTTCAAACATAGCCGCAATCTGAGATTACACGAAAGTAGTCCGCAAGTCGGTCAGCAAGCCAGGTTTAACCGTCGTATATTCCGTGCACCGTTCAAAATTCCCGGACCTCTGGGACGATTCCTCATTCCACAGAAAAGCGCTGAATGCATTGCCCTCTGGTAAAGGACCCCGAGGGGCCATGAATTTTCAAGTCAGCATGGATCTTCTGGGGGTAAACATCAACGAACGTGACTGCACCATTTGTAAGTGGTGGTCCAAAGACCACAACAAGTTAGGAGCGCATATCGTTGTCCACACTGATAAGCATCCTTATCACTGTAAACTTTGTAACAAAGCGTACTTGTATTCTGCATCGCTTTTGAGGAATTAACGTTAAAGTTACCCGAATGAGTACAACCGCAAAACTCCTCGAGGCATGTTTCAAAGATCCTCTGAAAACACTGTTTTTCTTGTAAAATACTTGAAAAGCATCTGTCTATCACTTGAGTGTGCACTACAAGCGGACGCCAGCAAATCTAACTTCCTAAAGTGAGTAGTTAGCATACATTTTTCGGATGCAATTGTTGTTACGGGGCAGCCGACCTCAACATACGATGCAGACGATACGTACTGGTTAATAGGAGGTTAAAACTTGCCGTAAATGCCGTCTACAAATGTATGCTTTGCCAAAGCCTGGTAACGATTTATCGAGCATTTTCTCTTATGAATCTCAGCACTTATTCCAATTTTGATTGTGAGGTCGTAATGAAGCGCCACGAAGCAAGTATTATCTGGATTTTTAAATAGTTGAAGGTGCAGACTTGATATCATCTGTCAGAGAAGAACGCCATCCGCAAATCATGACAAGACTCTTTACCAAATTGGGACAACGTTGACATCCCAACCAAAGAGAAGCTCTGCCAATATCAGAATATTTTCAATGCAGGATAGATGAATTTTTATCCCAAGTATGGTGGCTACGTTGCCTTGGCGGAAAAACAGATATGTGCGATTTCCAACGATGAACAGTTGAACCATATACTTCAGTCTTTCGAAAGAAGTTGACGCATCCGCAGTATGTACAAATGGTACCCTTTTTAATGATATTTCTTTTTGAGAAGTCGAAAGTTTTCAAAAACCTGAGTGACGAGTAGACAAATAAGTTTGAAACACAAGAAAATATGGTGGTGGAGACTTAAGTATGTTTGATTTTTCGAAACCACTTGACTTTACTGACATGATCAGTACCAGGTTAGAATGCTTCGTAAGTCCAACTAAGTATGCCAACTGATTATTCCAACCAGTAATCACCTAGACATATCAGTCTACAGAGTACTGCAGTACTCGTTGAACTTTAAAAAATTACCACATTCTTTCTAAGCAGTCCATATCTCGTAGCGAAGTATGAAAGCCATTACCAGCAAACTCAGCTGCGCCGGTCACTGCCGTATTCCTGGATGAGGACCCCGAGACGGGCCACATCAATGGCTAGAGACATGGTCAGATATGGCTCAGTCGCGCCCTCAATGGAGCTCGTGCTTCCAAGCTATTGCCTTCAATACATAGCTCCTTTTTCAACCCCCCCCCACTTGACAGCCCACTGACAGTGCTGGATTTATGCACTAATTTATCAGCTCCCGTCTACAATGCGCAGCCTCCTACACCTCCCCCCAAACCATCGGTGAGCGAAACTGCGGCAGCTACAACCACTGTACGACGTGTACGCGGTTATTACAGCTGACAATGATGATGATGATGACTTTGATGAACATCTCATGGACTGAGATCAATTTAGTCACGAGTGCTGCTGGGCCGTTTGCGTCCGATTATCCACCAAGTAACTAGGCCATTTAAACTCGAAAACTGCCGTCCATTTATTGCATTCCTCGGGCCATGAAGAGACCAGCATAATGGAGCTATTCGAACTGTAGTAGTTGCAAGGCAACCGTATCCAACCGTGAGGTGAACAACACAAAACGCTGCTACAGAGTTATTGATTGAACAGATCTGGAATGCGCAAGTGGTCATATGAAAAAAAGAAAAATATCACCTGGAATAAATAAAAGCTACAATGATGCTTCACAGTTCAAGCGTGCTATAATCAGGTTCTCCAACGCCGAAAACAAGAACCCAAAACACTGGCTTTCTGGTTGACTGAAATCTACCAAACCATCTTGCGATCACGTTTTAGTACCGCAGAAAAGTGGGTGAAACAAGACCGACGTCATGTATTGAAATCCAGCCGTCATTGAAAACGTTGTGTATGGATTCCATTCTGACCCATCCAGATGTTACTGCAGCTGTCCTTAGGTGATTCGCAGCCATTCACTTTTCCGTCTGATGTTTGCGGCACGTGCGAAGTTGGTTTACTTGCTTTGGAAACCAAAAAAAGCAACAATGGAGAATTCCACCCACCTAATACCCTTTCTGTCAGGCATAAAATTCATTGGTGACGAAGCAGTTGCCACGAGAGACCAGTGCCGAAGAGAGTCCCGAAAAAGGTCTTTGTATCTCGTATGACAGGTTCGTAGAACAGAACGAAGCACTGGAATGAAGACCCAAAGCGGAAAATGCTTCGATGGCATCGGCGTGCTTTAAACATCCTCATTCCCTATTGCAGCCTGAATCTGTCGGTACCACAAGACCTTGAAATTCCCACCCAGCAGCTTGACTCTTTTGTTCGTTGTGCTGCCTTTCTCACATGACTATTCATCAAGGTAAAAACAATCCTACTAAGCGAACGTGTTAGAGCAATAAGGAATGCTTTATTTAGTGTTCAAGCTATCGGTGGTCTTGGACAAGCAAAAAATATTTGAGGTCAAACGGGCGTTTTGGCTTCACATTCACTCATCAACTGAAGCCAGTGTGATGAATCGGCACACTGTTGGACGCACACAGAAACTTATTCTGAGAGAGCGCTTGTTTCCTTTGACGAATAAAACGTACGACAAAACGGCCCGCAGTGAAAATGCATAAATTCTCACTACTGATTTCCTGTGAGTAACGCGTATAACCGGCCAGATAGAGGACAACCAACCCAGAAGACCGAAAATTTGCCGAAACGGGCATCAAGTTCCCAAACGACTCAGTTAGTCAAATCAAATATCATACTTTCAGTAATTGGTCTGTTCAAGTGTGAAAAATCTGATCCCATACCTGAAAAGTTTTCCATGGATAAATTCATCCATGTTTTAGGACCAATACCAAAACCCGGTACTCCCCGCAGAGACGATCACGAAGAAACAGAATTGTCTGGATCTCCTCCACATCGGTTCACATATTGTGAATGTGATGCAAAGGAACGGTAAGCCACGGAGAAAAGAATGAAGAAGTGTTCGCTTAGATAGCTCTTTTTCAATGTTGTAATCATCGACCACTAAGATGACTAAGGTGACTAAGATTGTACAGGATTTCTCTCGTTTTATCTAGACCTGTTGATATGATTACTGGATTTCTGCATGTTCCTTTGTGACTTTTAAATACACCTCTGAGTAGAATCATCGTTAGAACTGGAATTGTTGTCACCTTACGCTGGAATTATTGGAGAAGGCAGTTAAATGACTGGCAGACTCACTCTTTTGTTGAGGTGTTTCTCTTAGGCTACCACATTCCTTCTTTGGTGTATATTTCCTCAAGCAACACGTTTCATCGAACAGAGTCTGGCCATACAATGACAAACGATGAGCTTGCTCAGAAGACGGCACGATGTGAAGAATTACCAGTATGCATTCCAGTTTCGCTGGTATGTGACATTTCATCCAGCAAATTAGCTGGATGATGAATGATTAGCTTATGTGGAATGAATTTGACGTCAGCACCATTGCTTGTGACGTAGGTTAAACAGGCGTCAGTGAAAAGAGATCTTATCTCAAACGTTCACCTCCCTATGTTAGATCTTATAGTGAAACCGTGTGTTTCTGGCATTTAAATCACTGCTCTCCTTTAAATAAAACTTTGAACTACTTAAAAGCTGTTATTTCCTTGGTTGCTGTCTCAGAATTGTGGAACACTTATTCATGTTTAGGAATAATTGGTTTTGATATGTTGAGGAGGGTGCAATAAGTCAGCCTCGGAAGAGGGATTTACAAATCTCTGGGTCTATTAGAGTTGCATCTTTCAGAATAATAGATTCCTTTGGGAAAATGGCGGTGTATGCTTTTAAAGATAACTGAATAGATTGTGATATGAACCGACTTACATCCTAGATGTCAAATTTTGGGGTACGGGTTAGGGCTTCATGGTTACTGGGTTGATAACCTAATGATTCACTTGGCAGCGAAGTACAAAAGCCATTACCGGCAAAATCAGCTGCGATGATCACTGTCGTCTTTCTGGATGGGGACCCCGAGAGGGCCATATCAATGGTTAGAGATATTGTCAGACACGGGGCCTCCAATGCGCAGCTACCTAACCTCACCCCTCCCCCAAATCATCGGTGAACGAAACTGTGGCAGCTACAACCACTGTACGACAAGTACGCGGTTATTACGGCTGAAATTCTGTCGAGTCTCTTGATAGAACCGAATTTGTGCAGGAGTATAATGCGTTCAATTTTGGTTTAAACAGAACATAATGTTGACGGGACCTAGTGGATTGCACCAACCTGATGAGCCCCATGGAAGGGAAAAGAAGCCGTGGGTTACTAGACATTTCAGCAACCTTATGAGTAGTGTTCTGTCAAGAATAGCTGCCAAACAATTCAGCAACATTCTATAGTAAACACCTGCCGCAATTATATTAAAAAATAACGTGTGCTATTCAATTCTGGTCCGTCCGAAGCAACAGTCTGGAGTACTATTCTAACTGGACCGATCGTATCAAACAAAATTAGTGAGGGCTTCACGGTAAAGATGTCCAGCTGCACTACTCATAAGGTTACTGAAAATTCTTCGACAACTCACGACCGCTTTTGCCAATCTTGGGGCTCATCAGGTGGGCTCTACTCGAAACCAAGTTGCACGAACCTGGCGAAATACACTCATCTACAAACAAGATTGTTTCTGCGAGAGGACCATGAAGAGATCTTCGGACCATCGTCTTACTGCTCAGATCACCTGTAGGCTCATATAACTTGGTCCAGGCGACAATACTGTCAACGTTGAACGTCGACCACCTGGCAGTTTATCTCTTCAATCGTTCAGCTTTGAACTACTATTTATCTTTTGGTAGCGCCATTTTATTAGGTCAACTTTTATTGATATGTTTGTATTTTTATTATATTGGACACAGCATTACATAATTAATAGACTTCTGTTATTTTTCTGACAATTTTTCATGTCACGTCACGTGAACAAGCATGCTGTCAAATACTGACAGCCTACGGTCTGTTCGAGGAAACTGGGTACTTTGTTGGTTGATTACGCGGTAGACGTGTCTGCCACAAGAATCTACGGTGCAAATGGGTTGGACAAACCGCAAGCGTTTCCCACAGACAGGTCGAAAATAAAGGGTAGACACTTGCGGATCACTCGTCAGCGCACAACATTCCATCTGAGGTTAGGTAATATGGGAAAACGCTAAGATTCTACAGGGAGCTCTGTGCGCGAACTGTGCAAAAGTTCGGCTTATGTACGTTCATTTTGATCCGGTCATTCGTACCGGAGAAACCAGTATCAGAATTAATTTGGAACTAACTAATATTGGTGTATTTGTAGAAGTGGTCGCTGTGGAGGTTTTCGATGTACACGGAAAGTACTAGACTGTACATGTTGCTGAACCCAGTCAAATGGGCTCAGTGTAGTATACCCTGTGAACTATATTTTAAAAACTTGTTCAGACAAAACGAGTGGCACAAGTTTCTGACACTCTTCGTCCTCCACCGAATTAATTTAATGTAAACCGACTTGTAACTGGATTTGCTTTTAAGTCCTTTCGCATGTGTGATCACGCCCGGCGTTCTATTCATTGTCCGGTTCTGTGAGTAATTCTTCGACAGGCTTGGATTCTCCCAGGGTTCCGTGTCGTGCATGCTGTTGGTATTTTATGACAAGAATGGAACAGTCACACAGCGCTTTCCGGATTCCAGCATAGACTGATCTCACTTGCAGCATGGGATCCCTATCTAACTCGCCAAATTATCTCATTCTACCACCACGCTACATGTACGCCGCCCAGAAAGGGGAACGAACAGCTTACAAGTAGTCGCTCCACGAAAAGCGGGTCTACGAAATACCACGTGGTGTGGACGAAAGACTGAATAACGATACATCCTGTCTCACTCAGTCGTCGGTTTGAATCTCCTACGGGATTCGTGTACTCCTCATTTTTGAAGGTCTCCAACAAGCATGAAAAAGCCGACATTACAGGCTTACTTTGTTAACACGGTGAAATCACGGTCAGGTTATGGACAGGTACCTGAAGTTTTACTTAGGACTTACACGACAATCACACTGAAACTATTTCGACCTGATGACCCCCAAGAAGGGCGAAACCGGTCGTGGACTGTCGAAGAGTTTTCAGCAACCTTGTGGGTAGTCCCCTTTATTTCGACATACATTCACTTGAAGATGTCAAAGGAAAGCAGGACAATTTGTTGAACATTCTGTTGGATCGAAGGTATCAGGTTACTGAAAGTTTCTTTAGGTCGCGCAAAATTTTTCTCCCACGGCGCTTTGGTTCTTTCTGCGAGAATAAAGCGTAGGTGGCATGCTAAACACATCTGGATAAGTGACTGCGTTACAAAATTTTTGAACGGGATTGTCACGAACTTCTTAAAAAGAACATTAGTTTTCTTTATTGGTAATGATCTCCAAAACTATCGTAGACCTTCATACGAAAATGAGCGCAAATCAATGTCCCTATCAGGAAGCAACCACCGAATGCCCGAAACCTACGGAGACTCTCAGCTCCGCTGGGTGGTGACCAGACAGACAACGCCCCCTCAATATGCAGGGCGTCCCAGCCTTGCATCAAACCCAGACAGCGCGAGTCAGCGTTGATCAAGGTCAGACAACGCTCCCGCGATATGCAGCACGTCGCAGCCAGACCGTGTGCATCAGCATTGGACCAAGTTCAGACAGCGTCCTTCCAATAAAAAGTTTGAGGCCATTGTACTTTTTGCACTCGCACGCACTCGCGCTCTCGCAACCACTTTTTTGGAATATAGCTATTGTGTTCCCTTCCGTGAGTCTTTTCTCTCCGACACTAGGCACTGCAGCGGGTCAGCAGCAGATACCACAGACCGGCGAATCAGCAGATATAACAGACCCACTCCACAAAATTTCATGGTGAGACACATTACGAGAAATTACTGATAAGGCTTCACTGATTAGGTCTGTCTGATGAGCTTCATGCATATCTGAAGCAGTAGTTGGCTGTCCAAATATTTCCATCAAACTTATATGTAACCTTATCAGAGAAAAGTGCGACACATATTGGATATCATCCCAAGTGAAACAGTGGGATTTTTGTGCACTCATAGGAAGAGTTTTTCAGACAATGGGTTCATTTGCAAAGATTGAATATCCCTCCAGAAAGCTTAGTGTATTAAATAATACTTTCTACAACTGACAGTAAAGCTAAATAAACGCCATTTTCGACATAAGGAAGTAATCCAATGCGGATTACCAGAAAAGGAAGAAGAGCTCAAACGTCCAGTCTGTCCAGAGATTCAAACATTACCAGAAATAAGCAAGGGTAAGGAACTGACTGCAATAATTCCAATTTCTCGAAAGCTTTTTCAGCACGAATTTCAGCATTGCTCAAGCGTATGAATAACACTTATACCTCACGAACTTCGGTCAAATTATGCGTAGAGGGCAATTGTTGCAAAATCTCCTTTTTGAATTATTAAGTGAACAGTTCCAACTAGGTCCAAGCGGACAGCTCTTGGGTTGGATCCAAGTTTTTTTACGAGTTACCAAAGAGACGCACTGTCAGGCAGATGACCAAAATACGATGCTCAGCACAAGAGAGCAGGTGAACAAAACCGACTGAGTTGTCCAGTCAGGTGTTCTGATCTAAAAAAAAGCAACAATTTACGACCAGCTTAGAATGAAGAACAATTCACAAGCAAAGTAAAGTGAAGGTTGTAGGTACATCAAGGAGCCAACCAACACGTGACCACTTGATGCAAATCACGCGACTGAATAATGAGCGACGTCACAGTCCGCCTAAGAGCGGGTTGATGTCATTAGTCGTAGCCGAACGTTTTATACTACAGCCTTTCTCCGGTAGGTCACGGGTTTGAAGCTCCCTGGGGTTTCGTGGATCGGTGATTCTCAAAGGGGATGGAACAACTCTATGATGCTTTTCGCGTTTTCGGTACAGGATGAACTCATTTACTGAATGAAAGCTTAATTAAAAATGCAGTGATGAGCTACCTGGACGTCAATCTTGATGGTCGAGCTTGGAACAGAGTTAATGGAGATCTTAATAATTTGGCTTATCTGACAATCCACCCAGATGGGAACAGTGGACTGCTAAAATGTTTTACTCAGCGTCACACATGATGCCATGTCATGGATCTTTTATACACTTGCACAGGTGTTGCAATTTTGTGAACTTTCACTGCGTCATGAAACCGAAATGAGGGAATGATATTGTAGTGGTACAGGGAGCTACTCAATTAACGGTTCAGGAATTTCTAAAGTTAGGAAAGTTTAGGTTAATTGATCAAGAATGATTTCTGGATCGACATTAGCGTTGTCGACAAGAATTCAAGCAAACCGTAGGATCCATTTGTTGTTGCAAGAGAAAGCGTTATTAACCGTTATTCGAATATTTATGTGGGCTTTTCGGTTCCCACTCACAAATTTCTCTTCAACTATCTGACAGTTTACGGAGTCAGTAGTATGTCATATGGTTAATCAAAGGCATGTATTTTACACCCTATGGATTACATACTGTTTCTCAACGGGAAGCCAAAATCCATACCGGCATGAATGAAGAAAATTCTTTAAAGACGAGTTTGAAAAGGCGACCCTTGCTTACCGGACAATTTCTGTAGCAAGTTCGCTGCCGAGGAAGTTCACTCTCCAACACGCTCTTATAGCTTTGCCTTACAGTGGAGTCGTCTGCCTCTTCGACAGTTCGGGTGGTAAGTACTGTTCCTGTTGGCGGGACAGTCCCGTATCACGAGTACTTTGAATTCATTTCATGATCCAGGAAATTTCCTTTTAATCTTTCGACTGCATATTGGTCTCATTTGTCAATGTTCCTCCCCAAGCATAGAGCTCTTCAAATCGGATTTTGGTTTGAAAACAGTACCGGTTTGGGTCAAAACACTCAGCTCCAAAGAGAATGTGTTATTTCACACATTTTCCTATGGAAGTCAGACCATTCCCAGCTTTTAAATGAGTAGACAGATCAGGTTCACATTAAATCGGATTTCCCTGTAAACAGACAGCATGTCAAGGAGAAACTCTAATGGTTTCGATTGCCGGACGAAAGGAATTTTGTAGAATTTAAACTATCTTAGGTACTTTATTTTGCATTGTCG